GCGATCATCAAACAGCTGCATGCCCGGCACATCGATATCAAAGGCCTGAGTCCACTTCCTACTACACTTGTTGACATCGATGCATACGATGCACCGAAACCCCAAAGCGCAGGCCAGAAGCCTCCAATTCGCAAAACCAGCCAACACCCAAAAACCAGGGTCAAAGCACGGATTGCAGGATCCATAGATCGAGGACTCAACGCCTAAATCCAGAAGTTCATGGCTTCGTTAAACCTTAAACCCGGAAAAATCCTCGTTTCTTTGCCCCCCTAAAACCCAAACCCCAAAACCCTAAACCCTAAACCCTAAACCCTAAACCCTAAATCCTAAACCCTAGCAGCTTCAAAGCCAGACTTTTGCCATGAAGAACGGCCCCCGAGGTTCCTTCAGGTGAAAACGGGCGCAGGGTTCATGGGCAATATCGGGGCCTTAACGGGGTTTGGGGTTTAGGTTTTAGGGTTTAGGTTTTAGGTTTTTTGGGGTTTAGGTTTTAGGTTTTAGGGTTTGGGGTTTAGGTTTTAGGCTTTAGGGTTTAGGGTTTAGGGTAATTATAATATACTATTTTGGGGGGCCCCTTCTGAAAGTTAGAGTGTGATATGCCCCAATACCCGACTCTAAAATTATTAAGGCCCCTACATGAAGGGTTTCGTCAACTCGAGGGATTCGGGTTGAGGGTTCAGGGTTGGGGGTTTAGGACCTATATAGTTGTCAAATACCCAGCCTTTAAACTTTTTTGGGTTTCTTATAATTTTTTGTAAAAACCTGAAAGTTTAACCTTTTATTTTGCTGGCTTTTTGGGGAAGTAAGAGCCCCACTGCACCCTAAACCCTAAACTAAGGACTCGCGGGGTGTAGTGTTAGGGTTGTAAGGCAGCCTAGAAGCCCAAGATTCAATCATCAAGCAGTTCCTCTAAGGACGCAGGGATGCTAGGGGACTTTCGAGATAGCATGATTGGGCTTGGGCATCGGGAGCTACCATGATCTTTACAGATGTATCTCCGACTTTTCTGGTACATCTGTTGAACCATTGTTTCTTCCCCTATGTCGGTGTGGGGTTCAGTTTAGCGACCGTAGCATTTATCAAGCGAGAGAACGCAAACGCGCAGAAGAAATAGGCCGAGAACGAGTGTAGTGCAAAGCTACTGTACTACTATGATCCTCAGTAGGAAGGGAGTTCATGAATCAGGGGTCATGCGGTTTAGCAGTTGTAGTTTCGGTTTTCTTCGCCGGAAACGCACTGAACCCCTCGCACCTGAATTCCGAACCCTAAACCTTGAACCCTGAACCGAAGCCTCTAACCTCCAATTCGAGTCGAGCCCCAACCCCGAAGCTCGAATCCTAAGCCCATTAAGCCTGCAAACAGCCGCAACAACAACAGAGTTTAGGGTTTTTAGATCATAGAACATACAGAATTTCAGAGACCTGTTCAATACCAGCTAGAGCCCTAGAATCTGTCAACTCTCTAAACGCCATACACCCCCAAAGCCCCAACAGCCTGCGACCTGGTGACAAATTCTGCTCGGGTAGTTGGGATGGATCATTTAAAATATGGAGTCTTGAGAGTTCCAGAATTTTGATTTCACAAGCTGCGGGGGTTCATGCTGTTACTGTTGGATGGATGGATGGATGGATGGATGGATGGATGGATGGATGGATGGATGGATGGATGGATGGATGGATGGATGGATGGATGGATGGATGGATGGATGGAGGAATAAATGTATGTCTGTAAGGTACATGAGCAAACGGGTCCTTCATGTCCTTCAAAAGCCATCATAACATCACCATCTGATAATGAAACTCGATGCACATTTGGTTCACGGTGTTACGATTTCTGGGCGTGGTGCTCATGCCACGTATGAACTAGAAAATGGGGTTTAGGGTTTTGGGGTTCGGGTTTATCGACTTGGCGGGGAGGGATTATTTGCAAACCCACCAAGTGCCACTTTCCCGCTGCTATGTGGGCTCCACTTTGAGGGGAAATCTTAGAGCCTCGGTTGGACACCGAGACACGCCGGAAGCTTACTCCAAGCATCAGGGGACTTTGTACCCAAAACCCCAAACGTAAAACCATGCACCGTACCTTTAGCCGAGAAGACTACCTGTTTTAGGCTTCCTTGATATGATGTCCTTAAATATGTCCCTAAACGGGTAGGTTTCTGAGGGCCCATTAGTACTCACAACCCCAAACCTGAAAACCCTATACCCTGAACCCTACTAACATTGGTCCCCCATAACCCCTTAATTCCGGAAAATGCCTTAGACTATCGCAGGACCCCTAATATGATTTAAGGTATATTCCTTAATTTCCAAAGGGTCCAAAGTACCTATATAGCAAATGTAGGGCTTCTATGGGCCTTAACGGAACCCTTAAAGGAACCCCCAAAATCCCTTGAAGGAACCCTTAAAGGGACCCCTATAGATCCCTTGAAAGGAACGGGTTTAAGGGATTTTGAAAGATCTGGGACGAGTGCTTGTGCAATGGTTTTTGTTGGCAGCTCTGTAAGGTCAACCCTAAACCCAAACCCTTAAACCCCTAAACCCTAAACCCTTAAACCCCATGACAAACAGCAGCCGAGGTTATGGGTTCAAGGTTTATCGGGTTTAGGGCCCAAGCCTAAAGGGCCCATATACCCGAAAAGTATATACTTTGGCCTTAAAGTACTCCCTATACAGATACTTTGGAGGCCAAAGTATATACCATTTGCGTACATGGACCCTTAGGGTAACGGGTTTAGTGTTTAGTGTGTATGGGTATTGTGGTGGTCCCATGATGTCTCATGCTTATATCTTCCGTACAGCTTAGGAGGCGCCTAGATGTTCAGTGGTGTTTAGGGTCTAGGGCTTTGGCAGCAGACAGGGTCTAGACATGCAGGGTTCATTGATGTCGAATGGTGTCAGTTGGGAATTTATGATGTGGGGCCGCTTTATGGGTTGTTTTTTTGTTTTTTTTTTGGGGGGG